CCCAGTAGAAAGAAAGTTTAGAGAATAGAATCATCCACACTTAGCACAAATCTTCGGGAATGAAAAATGACAAGCAAGGCCTGGAACACGGCATAGATAAGATGTGGGGTGATCTTGGCAGACTGAGGACACACCTCACTGGAAGCAGAAGGGGTCATTTTAAACAGACAGAGCCTGGCTCCTAGTACTGGGGCTGCTCTCTGCTCACAACCTAGCTGGTTGATCACACACAACCTGCAGATGCCCATATGGCTTCCATCTGTGACGGTGCCATCCCTGTGGTCCTGGCCCTGGGCTTTCAGAAGCCACTGAGACTTGGGTGATGACTTTCTCCCTGTGGCTATCAGCCCTCCATTGCCATGTCTCTGGGGGCAAAGGGTTATTTAGTTTATCTGCTTGCCCAGGAGATTCTGAGTCTGACATCATTGGCTTATATCTGACATGAGATCCATGGGATCTGAGACCTTGAAGATGGCTGTCCATCAGGCAGACTCTGTCAGTGAGTGGTCTCACCCTCTAACCAATAGCCTTGGGGCAGTCTTACCTGGGTTTGTGCCACTCTTCAGTTGGAGGGTGCCTGACAGGATCATCTCTCAAGTAGTGCCCTGGCTCCTTCAGGGCCCTTGGGAAGGGGAAGTTTATTCACCATCATATAGACTAGGGAGGTTGTAAGGCCAGGATACCTCAGGTGGGTGATGACCCCAGGCAGGTGCTTTCTCAGGAGCCCTGGATTCAGGTGGGTGGATTTTGTAGCTTGGTGGAGGCTTGCGCTTTATGAGCCCTGTTCCTAGCAAATGGTTGTCTTGAGCTTTGTTTTAATTATTTTTTTAGATTGACTTTTATTGTGTCTTGAGACCCCACTGCACACTGGTGATCACAATGCCTTATCCTTTTCTAACTTATGTATCTTAATTATTATTTTTTCAGGTGCACTGTATTTTCCAAGTGGATGCTCGGCCTTGGTTTTCCCAGTTCACCATGCTGAATAGCACCTGTGTGCAGGTAGGTATAAATGGGGCAGGAGCCCCTGGCTACCCCTAGTAGAAGTCTCCTTTCCTCTGAAGTGTGACCATCTGTAGACCAAGATCTGTGCAGCACCAGTGCAATTAAAGGCATCTCACGGAACTTCTGGATCCCCGAGTGGTGTTTAGAATCTTCTGCATTGTCTATTTGCCATGCATGCCACCATCAGTGATAAGTAGTGGAGAATTTTTTTTTTTATTACCCTGCCTACAGCTATAGATGGCTGAGTAAATTAGACTTCTCAGTTCATGTGAAGCAGCTCATGTATGGGTCCTATTGATTGGTTGGTCCGCTCATTCATTCATGTGTTCATTCATTCATTCATAGGTTAATTAAATCCTATATTCACTCATTCATTCATTCTTCAATTTCTCCATGCCCCTCCTCCCATTTGTGTATTCATAGAGAAAAAGCCAGGCATGGTGCTGCACACCTATAGTCTAGCTTCTTAAGAGGCTGAGGAGGATGATCATATGAGACTACAAGTTGGAGACCAGCTTAGGCAACATGATAGTGCAGCTCACAAAGAGAAAGAAAGAGGAAGAAGGAATGCAGAACATTCTTCCAAGGAGCAGTCACTCACCTCCCCTTTGCTTTCACCTCAGGAACAGGCTCACAGTGGGTGGCCATTCTGTAACCAAGGCTCAGGGGTAGGAGAGGGTAAACAAAGACACAGCCCTTCACCGGCTGCCTCACAGGGCTAGAAGGAAATGTGAGGCTCTAATGGGAGAGTTTCAAGTACCTTTCTTGGTAACTGACAGATCCACAGAGTAAAAATCATTAGAGGTATAAAAACTGTCAGAACTGATCAAATTTGACTTTGTAGCACATAGGACATTCATCCAATAAGTTCAGAGCATGCATTTTTGAACCTGTGGCTGATTTGTCAAAATTGAACATCTTATAGTTCATAAGACACATCTCCATGAATTTCAAAGAGTGTATCACATACATTGTATTCTCTGACCACAGTGAAATTTCAGTAGAAATTAAGGAGAAAAACGTTTGAAAATTTAGCAATGGATTTTTTTTAATTAAAACTTTTTTTATTAGCATTGCTTTCTTTAAAAAAAAATAACACGGTTACATTGAAAAACTTTGTATGTTTTGGAAAATTTGGAAAGGGAACACACAACAAACTCATATTACAGCAACAGTGATTCATTTCACATTATTGTTGAAGGTTGGTAGCACAGTTTTGTCAGTAAGTACTATTTCAAAATTAGAGAATTGTGAATATACATTCTAAAATACTAAATAAATACTACATTTTTTCAGTTTCATACAGAAACATTCATTTTCAATGCAATTGGCATTAAGATGTTTGCACATGTGTTTCTAATCTCTATATATCTGATTATTACTAGTGACAGTCAGTTACTTTCTGAGCTCCTTGGCATCTGAGCATGGATATAAAGTCATCAGGTAGATTTCAATGGTAATGTTTTTCACATCTATTAATTCTTATTATTGTTTTTTTAATCTTTTTTAATTTTTAATAACTACATGATTAGAAGAAGCATTTCACTACAGATTTAACATATTCAGTAACACACTCCAGAGCAAGAGTACATCTCTTTCACAAGTACGTGCAAGTTTCTCGGTTCACAGTTGAGTTAACACAGTTATACAATACTGAACTCAGTATAAGCCCTGTAAGACATAAAATTGAATGAGTTTTTTAACCTTTAAAAAAGATCTCCATTTCATTTTAGAATATATTGTTCCTTGAAGAAAGACTCATTGTTTTTGCTACCAACACTGAGATGTTGGCGCATGCATCTCTAATCTGTATGCATCTGATTATTACTAGTCATAATCGGTTGCACTTGGATCCTTGGTGTTTGTGTATGTCTATTAAGTCAACAGGTAGATTTCAATGGTAATGTTTATCACCT